AGATAAAGAGAGACGAAAGATCCCCCCCCCCCCATCTTTTCCCTTTTCTCTAAAACTCTATGGATTCAACCCATATGTTATGGACCATGACTTTGTTTTTGCCTGATTAAACTACAAAAGGTTATCAACTATCCTAACTCAAAGAAATTATTTAGCCTTTTATGACACAATGCATTATGTGATTGACACATAACTTGCTAATCCAAGCTTAAACCAACCAAATATGACCCTAGCTTAAAATTAACCCACCTAATTTGATCTCAATTCTATTCGAATATTCATTATGGATTGCTCTAGTTAAATTTAGCATTTAAATTAACCAAGGACTAACATAAGGTGTTACATGACCCAACGCCCTTCAAAGGAAGCAATTAGCCTACTATAAGCCTAATTAAATATGGATTATATTACCATAATATGAAACTCAAGCCCCTAGTGGTCTAACTAAGTCCTAAAACACATTTAAACATAAACTAGCTTAGTATCTCATGTTAACCTAATATAACCCAATATATAATTTGTAGAACATATATAACCAAATCCCAAACCAAAGACATATTAAAGCAACTAGATCATTTGATTTGGGCTTTATAGGCTTAGGAGACCCCAATTGACTTATCATAGTCAACCTATCACAAGCTATCAATACCCTAAATGTTATAAATATTTGAATGTATTTTTTATTTTTTAAAATATCCTTAAAATAATGTCTGACATGCTGGCTTAGTCAAGGAGCACAAAAAATGAAATGTATTAATAAAAATGTTGGAAATCTCCCCATTTTATCAAATAGTGAATCCCTCCTTATTTTCTTTCAACTATTTGTCTAAAATTAAGAAATTTAAGGTTCATTTGTTACTTATAAAATGAGCTGATGTGTGATGAAATTATTTAAGTGAATAATCTCTTTTATCTTTTGCTTGTAGCTTGGTAGCTTCAAGATTATCTTTTATTTTGGTGAGATAAGGTAGTTAGCTTTTATTTTTAAGTTTTGTTGCTCTCTTTTCTCAATTATTAGCTCCAAAATAACCCTAACATCTTCCCCCACATTCTAAGCCCCTCTGAAACTAGCCACCGCCCAATCCAATCCATTAGATCACAAAAAAGCTTTCCTTATAGCTCTCAACCAAATCAAACAAACTATGACATATTATTATTACATGATATTTGTTACAATATAAACTTCAGAAAATCTTACCATCTACCTCTATATCACTTGTCCAAAATTGTATCTAAGTGTTCCCAAGTGTTTTATAACTAATTACATCAACAAAAAACCCAACATACAAATTCATATTTCAATTTTGCCTAGCTCGGACTAATCTTAGTATTCCCATCACCATGACCCTTCAAACCCATTACCATTTCAATGAAAACTCCTAAGCACTTTCTTGGACATTAAGCCGAAGATTCATAGGTTTTTCTATAAAAAAAATGTCATCACTACCATCAAAGTCCCAACTAGAATGGCTTTACCAATTGGCATAACCCATATTAGCCAAATTGGGTCAACCTAAGATTAATCCAAACTCAATTGAACTATCCAAGGTTCCTTGTCCAAGCCAATTTAAGTATACCATTATCAACCAACAATCTATTTGATTGCATTATATCCATCCTTAAACACTAATCAAATGATTGTAGCAAATCAAAGCTCTTTTCATGAAATTTTGAATTATTCCATACTAACCAATCATTGAATAGTACAATGTCTTAAGACGCATGCCTCGAGTTGGCTAGCCACACCTATAGCATAATGAAAAGTTGCAATGCATCAATTTTCATGGATTTTGTGGGTTTTGGCTTAAGTTTCATACAATAATAACATGGTTTCCATATTAAATTGGTTGTTGGCCCCTTCCTTATAATAGTTCATAAGCCCTGACCATTCAATCCCCCTCATTTCCCCTCTAATATGTACACAAAGAATAAACTCTAGTGAGCTCACAACAACATTTTCAGCTTATGTATGATTGATGAGGATCAAGACACCATACTACTTATAAATCCATTATCTAATCATGATGAAGGTGATTGCTCCTCCAACCAAACATTGGACCAACTCCTTATGATTTCACATATTGAGAATTTAATATGCATGGCTACATGATCAAATCATTAAAAAACTCAATTCTATATTAGACAGTGAGTGAGTTGCTATTTTATTTGTGGATAATTCTCATTTATTCGAATAATCTTCGAATAAATACATATAAATTTTGAATAATATTGTGACAATATTTGAAGATGATTCAAATATGTTTGTGATACATAAATTGATATATAACGTAGTTATAAACAATTTAGATTTAGAATGACATATTCAAATTTAAATAATATAAAGTATAAAATTCATTAATCTTGAACATATAATCATATATGAAGACTTGAGCTTCGTTTGATATGACTTTTTTGCTGCTTTTTAAAGTAGCTTTTCAGTATAAAAATTAAAATATTTGTACTAGAAAACTGCTTTAAGAAGCATCAATAAAGTCGTCCCAAACAAATTCTTATTTTGTCTTGAAACTTTACTAAAGACTAATCAAATGGTGTTAGGAAAAGAAATGATATGATTATTTTGTTCTAAAATTCACAATTAGAATTTTTTTTTTTTTTTACAAAATGTGCATATTTTTATCTGAAATAAAAATTTAGATGTATTTTGAAAAGAAAAAAATAGAGGAGATTGTGAAAAATAAAGTTAAATTAAAAATAAAAAAATATCAGGTGCAAAACTCACATTAAAAAAAGACTTTCTTGGCCGGCAGCAAGTGAAGATATGGCGTGGTGTGCTGCTAGGTACATATCGTCACCGGCGATCGACGTCCGCCAGCTACGCCGCCACGTGCCGCTTGCTGCAGGCATCTGCTGCGCCTCGTTTGTCGGGGCAAGGTCCTCCTCCACCTCTTTTTCCAAACCTTTCGCTTGCGCTAGTGCGGCCTTCTCCATGGCCGCCGGTATGATCCTCTCCTTGTTCCAAACATTTCCTGTAATTTAACTTTATTGTTATTGAGTAGTTCGTAGATACTTCTCGGTGCGGGCAAGGTGGGGAAGTGAAGGGAGTTCGTGCCGATTTTTTTGTTTGTGAAATCTCCCGCTTACAATAATCACAATCTCCCGCTTACAATAATTTCGCAAACGAGTGTGATATTCTTGATTCGAAAACCCTACCTTAGAATGTCTGTTTCTGAAATCTGGATTAATGTTTAATCCGCGCTCTTTTCATCAAATGATGGACAAAATTTTTCATAGTTTGTTTTCAAATCCGTCGTCGTTTAATCATTAATACTCGGATGTTTTTCCATTTGAACACGCATTTTCTTTTTTCAGAGGACTCTTTAGAGCCACAATATATTACTTTACTAGGCTAAAGTTGCACCTTGGAATCAAGAATTTTGGATTAAATCATTCAGCGGTTACTTTAAAAGATGGTTTTGTAATTTATGACATTGCTAGGGATTTAAGTCTCAATGCTGCATTTGTCTGTTCTAATGTGTTTATCTTTGGGGAAGTTTCTTGGAATCTTAGCTTAATGAGTTTACTACGTTTGATTCTCATGCCATGTTGTGAAAGTTGTGTGATTAAAAATCATCTGGCTTCAAGTTTGATGTCTAGATTCATGTTCTAGATTGACTTGTAATTGATTTTATCAAAATTTTGTTGGATTCTTACTAGATAAAATTAGGACCAGAAAATCAAAATAGGACAACAAGAAATCTCTCCACATTCAATCCATAATTGGGAGGAGAAGGTTAAGTTTCTTAGTGAGGATAAAGAGGAATTTAAGTTCAACATTTTCCTCGAGAGCCTAAGAAAAAATCAACCAACATACTTCCTTGGAATAAGCAGTAATATTCTCTAATTAGCTAGATTAGTGGATAGTTAGTCTTTAATTATTATTTCAGTAACTATTTTTTAATTCTATTACCAGTAGCCAATTTAATTGATTTTCATTAATGCAATTGCATGAAATTAAAATAAAGAGGCAAATTCATCTCCCAAATTGTCGCCACTCCTCTCCTTTCTTTTTAAAAATAAACAAATCCCCTTGCCTCTTTTAGGGGAGCTCTTTTTCTCCTCTCAATACTCGCTCTACCCAGGCATTTAAGGGATAAAGCTATTATTTGCAAAAACACAAAGCAAGATGAAGGAAAATATTATGAAGAACTAGAAGTGGGAGGAAGGGAGTTGCTAGCAAGGGGGAGTCAATAATAGAAGGAAAATCAATAAGGACAATGACAAGAAGTGGATGATCTCTCATTTGTTAGTAGGACTAGTGTTGTTCTAATTTCTGATTAGTTCTTCTTATTTACACCTATATGCCATCAACTCCATCTCTCACGTAATCCCAACAAACTAATTTGGTCAAGCCCAGAAGGATTTCCATATCAAGATTTCTCTTGCAAGGACCTACTACATCTATTTAACCAAAGACTGTCCTATTGGCCTTCCCCAAGCCTAACTTGTTTAAATAGCCAAATGCTAGACCTATAACATCCATTGAGAGAATGGTCACGCTAAGCCTCATCTCAAGTCAATCTCTTATGATATCAGTGCTTAGATCTTTTTTTGTAGGTTTTTTGGATTTTTCCCTTCAACCTAGAACCCCTTGACTTCAATAAGCCCACAAAAACATGAATAGAAGCATCCATTACCAAGGAAAACTTGCAAGTAGGTTAAATAAACTAGAAAGCCTACTAGCCAACTTCTTTGATCACTAGGTTATATAAAAGACAATAGGGAAATGTTCCATGAAGAAGTTGATGATGGCATCTCAGAGATTCTATCTTGGGATGAGGATGACGAAGCAAATCAATCCACTTTCTACCAATGAATCAAAATACATTCAAAGTTGATGCAAAATATTAAAGTCCATCATATGGCATTTTGGTTTATGTTATTGTTTGGAGCATCTAGAATCTTACTGTTCCATGTTTAAGTCAAATCATACACAATTTAAATTTTTTTGCTCATCTTAAAATATCACCACATTCACATTTGCAGCTGAATGTTGATAGTTCAAGAATCATGACCTTTTAAGTTTGGCATGGCATTGGCTTTAAGTGTTACGTAAACTAATTGATTGATAAGTAGATCAAATGGAAACAATTAAAACAAATATTTGAATAATCAATGCAATGCAATATAATACTGTAAAGTTGGGAGAGCAATTACCTTGAAATTTTCCCGGATGAAATGCTATTTTCATGACATTTGTAGCCAAGTTTCGTAAAGGATGCTGGGTTAAAGTTTTTTTGCGTGTGAAATCTCTCATAAGAAGTTTAAGAACTATTGTAGTTGAAGAGAAGAACTCGATCAACAACAACAACAAAGGATGAAAGCAAAACAACTATGCAAGTGGTGAGAAGCTCAAGGAATGAAAGGAAATAGGCCCTACCACCCACCAAAAGTTCTGAAGTTGCTCAGGTAGAGTTTTTTGGATAATATTATGAAAAGAAGTGAAAAAGAGAGAGAACCAAAAAGGCTCTACAAATATTAAAATGGTGGCAAACCTACCAACTATAAAGGTAGTTAAATTACTAACATTAATGGCTTGCGACATTTGTCTGTAAAATATTTGAGATTTTTAAAACATATTTGATAGGCATGTGTATTATATAAATTATGAAGTTTATTATAAAAACATGGATTAATACTTATTAAAATAAGATCAAATTTATTTAGGTTTCATTGTTGAAAGGCCAAAATGAGAATATAAATGAGTATTTCTCATAAATAGTGTGCATTGTTTGAACTACACATGTTTCTACACATTTGAAACGATATAGAAAACTTTTTTTTTTTTGAATAATTTTTTTGTATATATACAAAATAATGCTTGAAATTTTTAATCAAGCTCACGAAAATTACAAGGAAGCCAACAAATTCTCTCACTTGAATATTTGGGCAAAGTCTTTTTTTGTTATTTGGGGGGAGGGGGGATAAGTGAGACTTGATACCTCTTAGTTGGAAGTCAAACTCCTAACCAACAAACCAAGGGAGGCAAAGTCTTATCTAATTGAAAAAATTGTTTACTGTGGAAGTGGAAAAATTGTTGAAGTTTAGAATGTCTACTTCAAAATTAGGGTTACATGCTAATCTATGCTCAAGTCTTTATGCTCTAGGTTGGATTAAAATTGATAGTGTTTAGGATAGTTAAGAAATGCTAATATCATACATTTTTTATTAATTAAAAGTAGGGCACAATGCTAATTACAAATAACTCACAATGTCAATTATAGATAAAGTGGGCATAAAGCCAATGAATTAGTGAATATTTATTTTAAAAAAGTCATATGCCTAATTTGAACCTATGACCTCTTCCTTGAAAACCAAGGAACATTCTGCTTAAGCTAGAGATCTTTGATGTATAATTTGTCTTTATTAGCCAATTATTCATGAAGTCAACTATGACGTTGTACTCTTGGATGCCTTCTGTGCATATTTATAAGATAAAAATATTTGCATTATAGAGGTGACCAAAAATACATGCTTACAAATAAAGGAATATGATGTGAAACAATCAAGAGAATTGCACGATTTTAATAAGAAACTTGTCTTAGTAATGAAATTATAGTATTAATGTTTCACTAAGTTAAGATTTTCAATTTTCGTGGTTATCGACTTGTTTCAAGTATGCGGTTATACGTTAGATTAGCAGGACGATCCGAAATAATAATAATAAAATAGTAAACAAATATGCGGTTAACGATAATACGTCACTTAACAGATAGATCTTTCACCTTAGAGTTTTCCTCTCGATCGCTCGTTGAAAGTAGGGTTAATGGAGGAGGAATGTCAGCAATCCGAGTGATGCCACTGAAAGATAGAGGATGCCAGTGGAGTCGATCAACGGGAAGTTGGCCGGAGTTGGAGAGACGGGTGGTCGTCCGGTGATCTTCCACTGGCCAGTCGGTTGTTGCTCGTCGATGGCTTCCCTAACATAAAGAGAATACGCTCCATGTATTCTTTGACGGTGTTTTCGGATCCAAATCCGGGATCAAAGAACGTCGATTGAATGATGTCGAGTTGCCCTTAAGAGTTGTAAACGAAGCTGTGGTCGGCTTCCGGATCCGCCACTCATGAGCGGGAGAGTGTTTAGGTGGTGTTCCTTGGTGAGGCCGTTGGTTGGAAGAGGTGAAAAGGGGCGGTGGGTGGTGGTAATTGGCGGGTAAGAAGGAGAGGAGAGGGAAGGGGCTTGGTAGAGGAGAAGGGCGACTTGGGTATGGTGAGGTGGAGGCGATTTGGATTGGTTGAATGGTGGAGAATTAACTTCGAAAATTCTGAGTTTAATTTCAGATTTTCTAATGGGAGGGATAGAGTTTAATTTGAATTCAAAATAATCCAAATTAAAGCTATGGGGGGCGGCGGTTTTAGGAGGGAATTGTGGGATTATTAATTGGGGTGTTGGGTTTAATTGGAGAGAGAAAACAAGGGGAAGGAGGGCCGGCCATAGGAGGAGGGAGGGAGCATGTCTAGATTCAACGTATGTGGACCCAAAGGAATTAATTTGATTGAAATCAAATCTGATTTCAGTTTCAGAATCTGATTGGGGTTTTGAATAATAGGAAGGTATTTGAAATTCAAAAGTTGATTGAATTCAAATAAACATACTTTCCTAAATAGCAAAGGTGTATTTAAGGAAAGTAATTAAAGACAATTTGAAATTTGAAATTCAAATTAGGTGATAATGTGAGGAGCCGACGGTGTGGCTTGTGGAGAGGGGTGGGTGGAGGGGTGAAGGCCGGCGGATGGGTGGGTGGTGGTCGGCAGTTGGGGCGGCCAAGGGAGGCCGGCGGCATTGGAAGGGGGTTCGGTTTAGGGAGGGGATGGGGAAACATGAAGGGGATGCCGGTTGGTGGAAGAAGGGAATTGGTATGAAGGTAAAGAGAAAGAAGAAATCAAAGAGCCACGAACCTCGGAATCTACCAAGGTTGACGGGTATTGCTCTCACCCTCGCCTAGGATTTCTCCTCTCAAGAACTCACCAAGAGATCAAACAAGAAAGTGGAATTATCATTCATTTGAAAAAAAATACAATGACTAGGCCTTCATATATAGGCCTCCAAAGCACAAAATGTAAAAGACACAAATGACCTCAGGCTACAACATGACACAAGCCCCTCATAGGGGTACAAGTGAAAAACTGAAAAATAAATAAAAGAAATACACTAAAACATCATAAATAGAGACTATGAATCGTAGCCGTCGATTTACAATTTCGTCGATGGTAAGTACGTCGAAATCTCCGGTGGATTTCCTCATCAGAATAGCTTTATAATTTATAGGTCGATTTCACCATTGAGGGATATAAAGTTGGCCAAGCAAGCCAAGAGAGTTAACATCATTTGCCATAGTTATAATCCAATTGTTCTGCTATAAATTAGCACAACAACTATCATCCCAATAGTTTCCAAAGAAACAGGAGGATATCAAAAAGGTACAACATGAGCACCAAGGTTAGAACATGCATCCACTTTGTCAACCTAGGCAAGGTATGGAGAAGAAGCATTTCTACAAACTCATGGAAGCAAAGCATATAAAGGTGACACGAGAACAATAGGAGGAGGCTCACATATCCATTGGTTGGAGCAAATTGAAGTTTCAAGGAGCAATGATTGAGATCTCTCCAATGAAAATAAAAATCATGCATGCAAGAATCTTTTCTTGCATGGAAAGCTAGTCTGCATGGGAGCACTTAAATAAGATCAACCTCCTTTTATCTCTCTTCACTTAGTCCGTGGCTAGGTACATCTAAAAGGGAACTTTGAATTGTGCATAAAAAGAAGATAAGCACTCGTTTAAATTATGATAAGGAGTTTAAGTAAATATTATCCTCAACATCTTAAGCAATGGGGTCGAGCACTAACATTATGCGGAATAACATAGAATATCCTCGAATTAGCTTGACTTGTGGTTAGTTAAGATTTCTTTTTATCTTATTATGTATTAATCTTTCTTCTGTAAATAATAGCCCATGTAATCGTTCTTCATTCATTCAGTAAATGCTTAAAAAAAAGGAAAATTTAGTCACATTTTCAGTCGTACCATTTCTCCCCACACTAAAACCATTCCAACACTATTCTCTCTTTATCTCTCTCTACCCAGAAGCTCCCTCTCTTCTCTTAATTCTCTCTACCTGACCCCTTAGGGTTCATGGAATTGTTTGCAACAATGCAAAGAAGAAGAAAAATAAGAAATGAAAGTATAAGTAGAACAAGGAAGGATATTGCTAGCAAGGAGGAATTAATAACAGAAGGAATCCATTTACCAAAAAAGGAAGATCTCTTAAGACTAGTTTTATTCTAGTTTTGAATTTTCCTTTCTATTAGATATCTGTAATTACATTAAAAAAATGCCTTTTATATTCCTCATATAGTCTAATTTTCCATGCTTGATCTTGGAAGAGATTTTGATGTCTATATTTTTCTTTCAAGGGTCTAATATGCCTATTTCACCTAAAACTCTACAAAAAGTGTTATTTTAAGTACCTAACTTGTTCTAATAATCAAGTGTTAAACCAGTAATTTATGGTGTCTGAACATAAAACCCTAACATCCTAGATTTAGAGAAAGCTTATTAGAGACCCTCATCTCAAACTAAGATAAAATTTGTTTTAGATTGGGTTAGTAATTGATTTTTTTTATGATTTAGAGAAGGTAGGTATGATTTACAAGGTGGGTCAGAGGAGGGAGGAGTCCTCTTGGATTGTGGGGAGTGACATTTTTAATGAAAAACAAAAATTACATGATTATTTATTTGTTTAAATGGGTAAGGATGGACTGTTAGGTTTATTGAGGATTTTGTTACAGATTGAGGAAGTTAAGGAGGACTTTCTAAAGATGATTTTGAAATTGAATTTTAATTTCAAAGTGAAGATTATGTAGAAAGTTGAGGAGAAAAAATGGAAAAAAGGATCAGGGTCGGTGGTGAAAAATGTGTGAAGGGGATAAGAATGATTGGTACTCTTGTTTTTTTTTAATGAAAAATAATAAAGATCTTGGACTGCTGCAAGCACAACTTTGTGGTTTTTGAACTGTTTTGGCCTGGGTTTAGGTCTAGTTTTTCTTAGGAATGTTTTTTTTATTCTAGAAGGACTATGGGTTATGTTGTGCATAGGAATTTGCGATCAATGTGTGGAAAAGCAGATGATATAAAGAGACTAGAAAGTGATTCCGTGATCTAAATGCACCTTAATGTAGATTCTTTTATTGAGAGTTTTTTTGGATTTAGGAACTTTCTATTTGATACCCATTGAGGACAACGGGTGATATAAGTGGAGATTGTCGTATACTTATATATTTTGATTGCTTAGAAGGGAAGAATCTGGTATAGAGGAATAATCATGGTTGTAAAGAGAAAAATAAATTAGAGAAGGAATGAATGAAACATGAAAAGATGGAAGAGCTAGAGAGAGAAAAACAAGCTTCACGGCTTGAAACAAGTGGGAGAAATTTTTTAATGTAGTTAATGCTTGAAGAAAGCTCTTTTCTTATTCCAAGGTATACCATCTGCATTGCCTGGCCCAAGACATTATTTATAATAATTGCCTTTATTCAAATGCAAAACTATCCTTGAAAATAGGAAAAAAAGGAAAACGGTTGCCGTAAATAAGGAATGAAACTTTTTTAATTACTATTAATTAACATAACACATTAAATAATATTGACTAAATTGACAATGCAATGACTCATGCCTAAGTTTTAAGATAGATGACTTGTCCTGCATCTCTCTAATTTATTGATTAGTAAGTTAATTTCTTCTCTTTTGGAAACCATGCATTATGATGCAATGACATTAAATATCTGATATTTCTAAAGAATCGGGGTTGAAAGAATTATTTTGTATTTATTTTTCTTCTGTATAGTGCTAATTTTAATTGCTTTAATATTGAATTTATATGGAGGTATTATCCTTCCCTTCCAAGCTTGTAGCCAGTTTCCTCTTCTTGCATTGTTGATCACGAAAAAGATTGCAGTTTAGCCCCAATTCTTTGCTATCGAGACGTGCTTCCGTTCTGAGTTTGCTGCTTAGAAGTTTCCTCTTCTTGCATTGTTTATTATGAAAATATGGCAGTTTAGTCCCAATGGCCAAAACTCTATGAATATTTACCTTGATTTAATTAACTTCTGAACAAAATTTCTCATGAGATACTTTCTTATTTTGTTATGATGTAGTAATTTGTTCCTTATTCTGCAAGTACTAATGACTATTTTCATCCTTGTTATCAGAGACAAAAGAAGCTATTAAGACAGAAAAGGCTCCTGCAGCTCTGGGACCATATTCGCAGGCTATTAAAGCAAATAATTTCCTTTTTGTCTCTGGTGTTCTGGGCCTTATCCCTGAGGTTTGTTACCTATTTCATAGGACTTGTCTTTTTCTAATATGCTGGTGATTGCATGTTACCATTTATATTGGATGTGTTGGTGTTTCATTTTGTTAATATAATTTTAATTTGATATGCAGACTGGAAAATTTGTGTCCGATAGCATAGAGGAACAAACTGAGCAGGTAAGTGATTCGATTGGCATTTACTTATGAATTTCCTTAGTAGCAACTATTTCAAACTAGAATTAATATTTTGTTAGAGAAAAAAAGCTAAAGCTGTAGTTTAATTTGGAAGGGTGGTATTTCTACATTTGGTATGTGCCACATTCCAACATTACTTGGATTTGATCTTGATGCTATCAAGAATTTCTGTACTTTTTATTTTATTTGAACAATAGTATATTTTGTTTTCTTTTCTTTTTTAGCTATCCAATGATGGGAAAGCATCCAATGATCATGGTAGGTAGTGCATATGGCTTGGTAGGCCTTTGGTTTGCTGGCTCGATTGGTCCTTGGCTGCTGGTGGTTCACGGGTTGGCTGTTTTGGAGCATTCGGTTTTGAGCTTGTCCTTTAAGTTGCTTGAGCTGAAGTTTAGTAGCTCTTTAATTCTCAAAAAGGTACCTCATTATGAAGTTTACTTTTGGAGTGGCCTTGTCCCTTCCCCTTCCCCTTTCTTCTTGTCTCTTGGGAATCCATGGCTTATATTTATTGGGAGATGTCTTCTATGCATAAGAATTTATATTGGGATGCTTTACCTTTTGGGATCTCACGGCTGGGCTCCTTCTTCCGTGATGGTCCCTGAACCCGCTCTGACGGTTGTCTGAGGATAGCGTCTTTTTTAGTTTCTTTATTTCTCCTAACATCTTTTGTTGTGATTGTCAAGTTTTGGGTCGTTTAAGTTTATTTAACAAAGTTTGTTTTAAGTTCTACTCTTTTGTCAGTTTTCTTTCTTGTGTGTTTTTTTTTGTATTCAAGTGATATAGACTCCCTATATCCCTTGTTTACATCAATTTGACATCAGAGCAAGTTCGTCTTTGTTTTGGTTTTTAGGAGTCTTTCTCTTTCGTGTCAAAAAAAAATGGCTAATGAACAAGGGGGTTGGCAACAAATGATGCAACAATTGAATGATTTGCAACATCAAATTAATACAATAGCTGAAGCCGTTGCTAATCTAAATGTCAATCAAGCTAACGTTAATCCTAGTATAATATCTTCTGGGAGTGAAGAGGAAGAACCTAGAAATCGAAATAGGCGACAAAGAAATTGGGATCATGGAATTAAAATCGACGTTCATAATTTTGAAGGAAAATTGCAACCTGAACAATTCATAGAATGGGTAGAAAAATTGGATCAATTTTTTGATTGAAAAGAAATTCCGGATAACCGAAAAGTTAAATTTGCAAGCTTGAAACTAACGGGACATGCATTAACGTGGTGGAAAAATTTACAAAACAACAGACTAAGAAGAGGCAAAGAAAAAATTCAAACATGGGATAGAATGAAAGAAAAGATGAAAGGAAAATTTTTACCTTCTGATCACTCGATAACTATTTTTCAGGAGTTTAATAATTTGCGACAAGGTAATCAAACTGTAGAAGAATACACTGAAAACTTTTACAAGTTGCAAGCAAGAAATGATTTGGATGAATCTGAAGAAAAAACTGTAACAAGATACCTCAATAGGCTAAAATGGACAATTCAGAATCAACTCAATTTACATCATGTGGTTAAATTAGATGAAGCTTATCGAATGTTTTTGAAAATTGAAAAACAACATTTGAGGGGAAGCAATAAAATTACTGAAACATATAAACGAAGGCAAATGAGTGAGACTAAAACTCAAACTTCTGTGGGGACTTCGAGTGCAAAAGTTAAAACTGTTGAAAGTCAAAATCAGAAAAAAGGAAAAGGAGTAGCAGAAAATAAACCGTCTGAACAATCTAAGCAAATTGGACCTTGTTACAAATGTGGGTTATATGGTCACTTGTCAGCTACTTGCAGAAAGAATAATCCTCCACGAACTAATTTCATAGAAGGAGAAAATGAAATAGAAGAAGAGGAAGAAGAGGAAGAAGATGAAATAGAATCTGAAAATGATGCTGAGTTAGAAAAATTTGACTTAGAAGGTGATGAAGGAGAACCATTGTTAGTAATTCGACAAGTCTTAACTGCTCAAACTGAAAAGGAAGATAAATGGCTTAGGAGGAACATTTTTAGAACTATCTGTACTGTCGAAGGAAAAGTTTGCACTTTAATGATTGATAGTGGAAGTTCAGGGAACTTTGTTTCACAATATATGGTAAAGAAACTAAAGCTGAAAACAAAACCTCTTGATAAGTCATATAAAATATCTTGGTTCAAAAAGGAAAGTGAGGTTCCTATAAATAAACAATGCACTGTGAACTTAACGATTGCAGGAACTTATAAAGATCAAATTGTTTGTGATGTTGTGCCTTTGGAAGTATGTCACATCCTTTTAGGTCGTCCCTGGCAGTATGATCATAAAACCATCCACAATGGAGAAAAGAATACATATTCTTTCATTAAAGATAACAAAGAATTCACACTCTTTCCACAAAAAAAATATTCCTGATCCGGTAACAAAGAACAAGAAACCTGTCAAGTCTTTCAATTCTGAAATGCTTTTGAACACGAACGAATTAACAAAATCTGATGTATATCTGTTATTTGGAAAAGAGTATGATTTATATTTTGAGATTCCTAAGGAAATACAACTATTGCTTGATGAATTTTCTGATTTGATACTTGATGACCAGCTGGATTACCCCCGATGAGAGACATTCAACATCATATTGATTTGATTCCTGGAGCTACATTACCTAATCGTTCACATTATAGAATGAGTCCAAATGAACATCAAGAACTTTCTAAACAAGTATCTGAACTGCTGGAAAAAGGTTTAATCCAAGAAAGTCTGAGTCCTTGTGCTGTGCCTGCTTTACTTACTCCTAAAAAAGATGAAACTTGGAGAATGTGTGTAGATAACCGAGCTATAAATAAAATAACCATCAAATACCGATTTCCAATTCCTAGATTGGATGACATGCTGGATATGTTAAGTGGTGCTAAAATTTTCTCAAAAATTGATTTGAAAAGTGGGTATCATCAAATAAGAATTAGACCTGGAGATGAATGAAAAATTGCTTTTAAAATCAAAAGGGCTTATATGAATGGCTTGCTATGCCTTTTGGTTTGTCTAACGCTCCGAGTACTTTCATGCGAACAATGAATCATGTTTTACGATCTTTTATTGGGAAGTTTGTGGTTGTATATTTTGATGATATTCTGATTTATGACATTCATCCATCTGAACACCTTTTTCATGTTAAAGAGATTCTGAAAACTTTGAGAGAACAAAAGCTGTACATCAATTCAAAGAAATGCTCTTTTATGACTTCGAGTTTGACATTTTTGGGTTACATTGTATCTGCTAGAGGAATCAAAGTAGATCCTGTGAAAATCGAGGCAATAAGAAGTTGGCTTGTTCTTAAGAATATCAGAGAGGTAAGAGGGTTTCATGGTTTAGCATCTTTTTATCGTCGATTCGTTAAGAACTTCAGTACTGTTATTACTCCTATTACTGATTGTTTTAAAAAAGGGATTTTTAGGTGGACACTTGAAATTATTAAAACAAAAATGAGTCAAGCTCCCATTCTTAAATTGCCAAATTTTGAAATCATTTTTGAAGTTGATTGCGATGCCTCTCATATTGGTATGGGGGCAATGCTTAGTCAAAAAGAAAAACATGTTGCTTACTTTAGTGAAAAACTGACTGAGTCTAAGTCTAAGTATTCTACTTATGATTTGGAGTTCTATGCTATTGTGTAAGCTTTAAACTTCTGGATATGTTACTTGGTTCAAAGAGAATTTGTTTTAAATACTGATCATGAAACACTTCGTTTTCTGGGTACAAATGCATACCTCTTGGATTTACCAAATACTGTTGGCACTTCACCTGTTTTTAATGTTTCTGACCTGTCTTTGTATGAAGGAAATACTGACGATTTTGTAGATATTGAAATTTTACTACTCTCTGCTCCTTTGGTAAAGCCTGAAGATCAAATCGAATATGTTATTGATGTGAAAGCTGTTAAGACGAGGCATGGAGAGCATAAAAAGTTCCTGGTCAAATGGAACCATCGACCATTGACTGACTGTACCTGGATTGATGCTGCTGATCTAAAAAAAAAAACTTGGAGCTTTATGAACGAGTTGCTGATACGTTCTCATCAGGAGATGAGAATTTTCGGTGTGGGAAATCCTGCGGGCTCTTTCCACCCTTTCTTCTCGGGCTTCTAACCTCTTCGTCTCTCCGCAAGTGCCACTCCATCTGTATCCTTCTTCTCAACAGTGAAGCAACTTTAGGGTGTCGTGTCTTGGTTGATTTGGAAGCATTTGGGACAGTCTTGCAGTGGTGGACCATCGGTTTGCTAGTCTTATGCACTTCTTTATTTAATCTACTATTCGATGCATGCCAGGAACCCGCTCTGACGGTTGTCTGAGGATAGCGTCATTTTTTATTTCTTTAAAATCTCCTAGTATTTCTTGTTGTGTTTGTCAAGTTTTAGTTGTCTGCTTTTATTTTAATAAAGTTTGTTTTAAGTTCTATCCATTGCGTCAATTTCTTTTTGTGTGTCTACATCAGATCTTTATTGCGTGTTAGGAATGAATTTGAAATTTGGTAGAATTTGGATAGATGGGTCAATTTGTGGCCTAATAGTATATCCTGTACACAATAAGTAAAAACAAGAGGTTAATATATAGAATTGGGGATTTTATTTTTGAGAAGACCCTTTGAGACCCAAATTAGTGGCTGAACTTGAAGATACTAATCTAAAATTAATTTATCACAATTTCTACTTCATGATGAAAGAATGAAAACTTTTTGATGAAAGAATGAGAGCTCAGAGAGAGGTCTCATCCAAGCAGAAAGAGAGAGTTCAAAATGGGCATTTACTTGCAAAAAGAAATGTCATCCAAGTAGGTGGTATTTCTAGGTGCTTAGTGGCGTGTCGGCAAAACTTACGTTGGATAGATGAGCTACCTTGCTTTCGAGTTTTATACCATATCAAAATGCCTTAATATTACCGTATCAATAGGGGGGTATTTTAGTCCGTCGATTAATCGAATGATAGAGAACCAAATAATGACATACTTAAGA